CACTGCGCCCAGCCCAGCCCAGGCACCAGGGAGACACTCAGCCAGAGTTTGCAGCACCTAATTGGATTTGGATGGGTTATATCAGATTAGATTTGGCGTGGTGGGCAGCCTGGACTGGCAGGCACCAGGCCTCTGAAGACCAGGGCTTCTGGAAATAGCTCTGGAGTTCTATCTGGACTCCCCTCAGGGAGGAAAAACATTCAGAGCCTCTGTTGAGCTTGGTGCTCCTGGTTCCTCCATGTCCAGATGGAGGGAGAAAGAGGGTGGATCTTATAGTTTGGTTCCCAAGAACAGTCATGGCATAAGCAAGGAGATGCAGAGGACAGAACTCACTCTTGCAGGAAGCTGCTCTGTGCTTGGCCTGGGCTGGGGCTGGGAGTGGGCTAGGTCTGCATCAGAGGAACATGCAGGCTGGCACAGTGAGGTGTCTGCTGCCATAGCAGACTGGAGCAGGCCTGCTGCTCAGAGGAGTCGGGCAGGGTTGCAACTGCAGATGAGGTGAGCACTTCCCAGCTGGAGCTCAGGACCACTCTCCTGGAACAGAAGTGTCTGGTCCCAAGCACCTCTCATGCCCTGGGGTTTATCTTCACACACTCACTTGGCCATGGGCCTCTCATGGGAGCCATCTGCTACAGGAGAGGACAAGCTACCTCCCTGCTCTTGCTCCCACCTCAGGTCAGCACAGCCCTGAGAGAGGAGATGAGAGGACATGCTACAGCTCTGCCTGGAGGCTTGGAGGGAGGCCTGTGTGCCACCCCAGTCCTGTGCCCCACTGCCTTGTCTATAAAGTGAGACGCTGGAGTGGGCCACCTTAAGACCCTTTTAGTCCTGGGGTCTCTTCAAGTCCAGGACACCATGTCGAATAAGGGAGACAAGACTGTTCCACAGTGAGTGCACGACTTCCTCAGAACTTTTAATGTGTGCCATGAATTTTCTCCCATCAGGCATCTGAAATACCTGAATGTGTTTCTAGAACACAGAGCCAGAATGCCCCAATAGCACTTTTAAAATTCTTACCTTGCCCCCTATTATAGTAGACAGTGGGTTGATCTGCTCCTAGGTAGGACAGCCTTTATTCCTCTTTTCATCCTCTTCCTCCTCTCTCCTTTTGCACTCTTCTCTCTCTTCCCCAGCCACTCTTTGCTGAGCCCCCACCCTGTACCAGGCCCAGTGCTGGGAACTTGTGCTACGGAATAAAGCTCAGGTCTCCCTGTAGGTTACCCATGGCTGGCAGGGGAGAGCAACATAGGCAGCTGACCCTTCAGCACAGGCCACAGGAAGCAGGCAGAGGCAGACGCTGTGTCCACGGCGTGCTTTCTGGAGGAGGTGCTCTCTCGCGCTCTTCAGTTTCCTCTGCAGCAACACTCCGGGGTAGACTCCTCAGCCCCATTTCATGGCTGACAAAACAGATGCAGAGAAGGTAGCCGTCCAGTCAGAGTCTTTGATGGTGGTGAGCATGGCTGGGCATCTGAGGACCTGGAGCTGGCTGCTCTCCGTGGCTGTTTGTGCGTTGGCTTGGTAGGCACTGACCTGGAGTGGGCAGTGCACAGCATGGTGCTGGCACCAACCCCAGCAACGGGACGCCCCCACCTAAGGTGCCCAGTTGGAGAGACGCACGGAGCTGGGGTGGGGTGCCGAGCCACCCCATCAGGGGGAAGAGCTCAGAGCCATGGGGCCTGGTCCTGAGCTGCTCTGGGAAGAAGGCTGCCTCAGCAGGGCAGAGGCAGTGTCCAGGCCGTCCCCAGAGAAGAGGACGCTGTGCAGGACAACCTCCTGTGCTCCTGCCCATGCAGGTGGGTCTTCTTTGGCCTGTAGGAGCCAGTGCTGCTCCCAGTGGAAGTGAGGTAGCACAGCCACCCAGGAGCCAAAGTGACAAGCAGAGGTGGCTGCAAGTTGCCCCCAGGCTGGGCAGTTGTGGCCATCTTTGGAGTGGTTGCAAGGGTTGCTTTAAAATGTGGTGGTGATGCTGGACGCCACTTCTTGCAGGGGAAGGCCCCGGAAGCCCTCAGGCCTCCTCTTCCCCTCCATGCAGCAGGGAGCCCAGCTCCACAGGGCTGCAAGGCTGCTCCTCGCAGGCCTGCCCTGCTCTTGTTTTGAAAAATATAGTTTTTGGTAAAAGTACATTATTTAAATTCTTTTCTGTGTGGTAGACATGGGTAATATAACATGTGGACTCGTACACCTGGGCTCTTTGGTCTCCTCTGTCATTGTTAGGAATGTAAAGAGGACCGAAAGCCACCCCAGCTGACCCTGGGCTGGAGAGGCAGAGGGGGCTTCAGGACCTGGGGCAGAAGGCAGAGTGCTCAATGGCTATCTGGAATCTGGTGAGGGGCCTCCAGGCAAAGGGTGGAGGCCAGCCCTCTTCCCTACAGTTGCCAGAGAAAACCCAGCCAGGACCTTTGAAACCAGACTCCCCCTCCCCAGCTCTGCAGCTCCACATGCTGACCCTGGGTTGCTACCGTAATGCTGGATTATGCCCCCAGGTTACCCTTTGCCAGCAACTATGGCAACTCTTGGCTCATTATTAAAATCCACGTGCTCAAAAGGAAAGATGATTAGATGGCAAGTTGTGGAAGGGGAGATGGAGGGAGTTCTAAAGGTCATGCTCTTTAGTCCAGGGTTCTTGGATGCAGCAGTTCTCCAGGGATGAGTTTTACAGCGGGTGTGATCAGCAGGGCTTCTCGTAAATTGCTATCCTTTGACTGGAAGTGGAAATTCAATCTCCCTTTCTTCATCATGTCCAAGCCTGAGCGAAACAGGGGCCTCAGACTCCTCCCGCTCAAGAAGCAGCACAGATCTGCGTCAGTGTGGGCACCTGGGGCAGCGCTGGGAAATTGACAGGGGGAATTGACCAGACTAAACTCAGGGATCGGGAAGTTTGCTGAATTGGTGGGGTTTGAGATGCGCCTAGGATTTTTTTTTGTGGAAGGCAGGAGAGGGAGTTTCCCAGGAGAAAGGAGAAGCTTCTCAAGGACGGTACCAGGTGTGTGGGATTGGGAACTTGGGGAGTATGTGCAGGGGGCAGGGCTGCAGTGTGGGTGGAACAAGGGAGCCACAGGAGCCTTGTGAGCAAGGAAGGAGGGGTCACCCTAGGCTCTGAGCCCACCGTTGACATTGCCCATTAATGATGGTCATGGAGACTGCTTGGTGGCCACCACTCACTGGCCAAACCTTCTCAGAGGCTGGAGTCTCCCAGAAGACCTGCTGAGAGACTGAACGTGTCTAAATGTCTAAGAAAGACCCCCTCCTGAAAGCCACCTCTGAAGCGGGGTGACTGGCCTCTCCAGGACCTAGCCGGGAATCCCTTTCTCCAGATCTGCAGGGGGAAGCAGCAGCTTTCAGAAGTCAGGCTCCTGTAAGGATGTCTGGTCTGTTAGTGAACACCTTCAGCAGGCCTGGCATCTGCCCGTCTGTGACCTCATTTCATCTCTCACCTACTCCAGGACAGTCGTGCCAGCTCGGAGATCATGAGGCTCAGAGAAGTGAAGCAGGTATCCCCAAGGGCAACAGCTGGTAGGGAAGCCAAGTTCACACCTACATCTGCCTGCCTCTGCAGGGCCTTTCTAAGAAAGCGATGTGCTAGCACTGGCTAATACCAGCTTCAAAGCCAACCGTGTACATGGCGTCCCTACTCCAGTGGTCCCTGTGGATACCACCACACCCCCATAGCTTGAAATCAGCCAAGGGGAGGGTTTGCACCACAGAACTTTGCAAAGACTGCAGATCAGCCCTCCACCCTTTGACCCCGGGTGTTAAGCCTCCATCAACACTCCTCCGTGATAGTCATGCATCAGAGCCAGTGGGAGTTGAGAAAGGAGAGAGCTGGTCTCTCCACCTGAACTTGAAGCCTCCTGTGAGGCACAGCAGCAGTCAGGTACTGTGCATCTTTAATCACTGGCTGGTGGGTAGACTCTGCATCATGCAACAGTTGGACAGGAAGAAGTTGAGAAGGCAAGGTGAAGAATGGCCAAAAGTGAAGAAGCAGATGAGACCAGGAGTTTGGGCACTGGGCAAAGTGCAGGCTTCACTCTTTTCCATTTTGGGGGTTTTGAGTTTAACATTAGACTTTTAGGGGTGTTGCAGATTGACTCCAGGGCCTGTGTGCACTGGGCGGGCACTCTACCACCCAGCCACACCCCACCCCTATATTATTTTAAGCTGTAGTATGACTGCCACGGGGTTTGTGTTTTTACATGTTGCATTGCTGCATGCTTGTGTTTATGGTGTGCAGGGTCAAGATGGAGCTGGCCCTCTCCTAAAACAAGAGTCCAGTGTGTGCTCTGGGGAGGAGAGGCCACCTGTGTGTTCACCCACCAGGCCGGATTCCCGCCTCTCTCCAAAGCCGGCTTCGCTCCTCCACAGCTTCTTGCAGGTGGAGATGGAGTCAGGTCACAGAGCTGAGGTGCAGGCTGCAGCTCTTCCCTTTCAACTGCCTTTGGCCTCTTGATGGACTTGTGACCCACAGGCTCTCACTTGACCCCTGACCTCATAAATTCTGGAAGCTCCTCACAAATCACCAGGAAGATAAACATCAACTTGGGTCAGTGGAAGGAGGTCTGAACTACTCCAGGCAAACAGGGAGGGGAGATGGAGGGAGGGAACTTTCTGGGACCGTGGGGGACAGACCAAGTGGCCCTGACCTGAAAGCAGTTCCGAAGACCTAACCCACAATGTGGCTTAGGGCAGGAGCCTTGCCAAGTTAGTCCCCAGTTTTCATTTACAGTGCAGCTCACAAAGCACCAGACCTTGGCATAGTGTCCTTGGCCACTAGGACCATCCTATGTGTCTCCATGTGGATTACCAGTCCACACCTGTGTGTGTATGTGTGTGTGTGTATGTGTATGTGTGCGTGCACGTGCACTTGCACTTGCACATGTATGTACACACCAGCATACATGGTGTGCAATAGCAGTCCGGAGCCTATCATTTAATCATGACATTGTTTCTCTCCCTCTCTCTCCCTGGTCCCCAACCCCTCTCTTGTCTGTCTCTCTTCCCAGAGGGTATGAACTGCATGAACAAAGACCACGGTTGTGCCCACATCTGCCGGGAGACGCCCAAAGGTGGGGTGGCCTGTGACTGCAGGCCCGGCTTTGACCTTGCCCAAAACCAGAAGGACTGCACACGTAGGTAGATGGAGGCAATGGGTCAGACACCCCATGCGTCTCCCGCCATTGCTTTGTAAAGGGTCTGTCCAGTCTGCTGGCTGTTGGCCAGGGAGGACTATGAGCTCCATGGGGTGGAAAGAAGGGCAGCTCTGCTGAAGGGCCCTTGGTGGGCTGGAGAGGTGGGCTGTGAACCCTGGGTTTGGGGTTTTTCCCTACCTGCTGTGACACTACCAGCATAGCCCCAGGAGCTGGCCTGGACTTGTGAAGGTCCCTGAGCTGAACTCTGCAGTGGGAAGGAGGGGCTGTGGTACTAAGATCTAGATGCCCAGGTTTCTGGAAGGGCCTGGCAAGCCCTCAGGAATGGGAAAATGTGAAGAAGCAGAGGAATGTCCTGGGGTCCCATTTCCAGACTGTGCTGATGTGACTTCCAGGCTCAGAAATCAGCACTCACAGTGGCTGACTACAAGTGGTAAGACCCTGGGAGGCCACAGGTACCACAAGAATGGCTGGGGAGTTGGCCTGCAACATTCAAGTGTCACCCAGCTCTTAGCATGGCCACTCAGCTCCCCATCAGGAGTAGGGCCAGGAAGCAAAGTGGGACGGGGGCTGAATGCACTCGGCTGCCCTTCAGAGCTTCACAGCGGCTACCAGGAGACAGCAGGATACAGACTGCCCACTGGGAACAGGGATGCCCAGGTTGGCACCACATTTGCCCTGGGTCTGCCAAGAGCCAAGGAAGGCTGTGGTAAGCACTTCCATCTCAGCCAGAGCCACAGGCTTCAACATGCTCACTTTCTGCTGCAGAAAAAATAGGATGGAAGAGTCTGATTCCAACCCTGAGAGACAGCGCTCCTTGCCGGGACTGTGGAGTGGGGGCCTGAGGCTGCCTGCTGGTGTGAAGGAAGTGGCCTTCCTTCCTCTCCTCATTCTGTACAGAAGATACTCGTCCATGCTGGTCCACCGTCCTTTGTCATTGTGACTTCTTGTCACCAGCTCACTGATGTGTGTCTCACCACAGCTCTCCCAGTTCAGGGTCAACTCAAACAGTGGCCAAAGCCCTGGGGATCCACATGTATCAGACACTGTCCCCACCTCCAGGAGCTTGTGCTTCAGCGCCAGGGTACCACCATGTGTGCCCCAAAGGAAGGGACTTCCTTCTGCCCAGGTGTAGCCCCAGAGGAGGACCATCCTTCCTCTCTGCTTCTCATTCTTTGCCATGGGACAGCAAAAAAAAAAAAAAAAAGCATGACTGTGTCACCAAGTCAGGACAAATGGGGCAACCTCAGGAGTCCAGCCAGGGTCCCTCTCCTTTAACTGCAGAGAAACCACCTGCCACCTGGCCACTTGCAGAACAGAAAATGCTACCTCTGGCCTCCTCAGTCCTCCTCCTTGAGTGATCTGAATTTGCTCATGAAAAAGGACCCGAACAGAATGCAGGCAGCCTTCAGCCAAGTACGCTTCAGTCAGAGGACAGGCTGAACTTCCCTCAGTGCTGGACCTCGAGCCAGGAAGGACTGGGACTGGCTGGTATCTAATTCAGTAATCCATCTGGGACAAGAGCCTCAAGGGCATAGTGTGCTCGGAGAGCATCTCCTGAAAGGCCGACTTGGTTGGAAAAGTCAGGGACAAGGCAGGGGATGGAGGGTCAACAAGAGAGTGACGGTCCTGCGGCCTCCTGGGAATAGACTGCCTAGCCATTCCAGGCTTGGGTTCTTCTGTGGTTCATGAGGCAGGGCTATTTAGCTGAGACCTGTGCCCTAACCTTTTGAAGTCACTTTCAGTTCAGGAAATTCTGGCTCTTAAGTTAGGCTAGGGCTGGGACCTGACTTAGCAGCCTCTCTGGACCCAGGAGCCAGGATGGGAGGCTGCTGCAGGCCTCTGCACCAAACTCTTATCCCTCCAAAGACAGCCATTTTCTCCTTCCACTCCTTGTATTCCCAGACCTGTACTTCCATGTACAAGCTGAAGGTCTGGTCCTTGGGGGTGCTTGAGATGCTCAGACGCCTGCGTAGAGGGAACAAGGGAACAGGAGCCATTTTGGGGGTACAACCCATCTCTGGGAGCCCAGAGCTTGGGAAGGACCATCAACACTGTTCTTGCTGCCTTCTCTGTATCTCTACCCAGACCCATGCTGAAACGGACTCTTTTCAGTTCCGTGAAGGCATATACTGTCCAGCCCAGGTCTGCCAGGATCTATGTAATCCGGCAGCCCTGAGCCCTTGGCTCCCCGGGTCTCCTCCTGGTCAGAGAGACACACTGTTTCAGAGCTAGGACGCGGGGCCTGCAGGAGGCGGCTCACCCTGGGATGAGGAGATACCCCCCTGCAGAGAAGGACCAGGTGCTTGTGCTCTGAGCCCTGTTAGGTTCCTGAAGCATTTCAAGCTCCTTGAAACTTCATGTTGCAAGTTAGGTCAAGAGGAAGCTGCCCATTCGAGCTTCTGTTTGCTAAGGACAGTGTCTGAGATGCTGGGAAGCCATTCTTTTTATATCCTTACCTACTGTGGAGACTGCATGCACTGAAGGCTGAGGATCACCACCTCTCAGGACAGGGAGTGCCCAGGTGCTCCATGGCAGTCTCCATGAATGGAGAAGCACCAGTGAAGTGTAGCTGAAGAAGTCCATTCTGAAAGGTTTGGGTCCCTCCTCAGGGAGCTACCACCAGTGACTTCCCTCTGTCAGCAGCCATGCCAATGGGCCTTCCTAACAGAATGTGATTGATTCAAACTCAGTTTGGGATTGGGGGCTGCTGTGCCCATAGTTGGTCTGAGATCTGTTCTTGTGTATTTGGTCTTCAAGATGGTTTGCCGAGTACGTTAGCCCAGTACGTTAGCGTCTGTCTGGGAGACACACTGTATCAACTTGGTATGCATGCACCCAAAGAACACACATTTCCACACCGGCTTCCTGTGGGCAGGGCAGGGCCAGGAGGGCTCCACAGAGATCTTGACTCCCCTTGTTCTCCTCTAGCACTCTCTCTCACCCTGGAAACTCATAATGTGGTTTCTTTTAAATAAACTTGAATTGGCCATTTCTCCTAGCCCGGGCTGGCTCTATTTTGTTCAGCCCCTTGTGCGCGAGCCAGCTGGCTGACGGACATCAGGTCCCCTGGGCTATAGGCGTTGCCAGCTTTTGACGCTGTTTAGGTCACTTTCAGCATCACACCTCAGGTGGCAATAACTGCCAAGATCTACCTGTCTAGACGTTCCTAGGCCCAGGGGTTGGAAAGCTATGAGGGGGAAGAGCTCCAGCTGACTGGCCAGGGACCCAGAGCAGGTGACATCCTTGAGAACATCCCTCTACATGCTCCAAAACATGCAGAAGACAGACAACTCTGCAAGAACTAAGGAAATGAGTGTCACCTCAAATCATGGCTACCACCTCTGCCCTCAGCTTTGGAGAATGTCCTAGTGTCCACAGACATTTGCCCCATTGATGTAGTTGGAGAGGATGGGACAGCAGCCACCCCACTCTCTAACCACCACCATCCGGCACAGCAGCTGCGCACCTCTGTTCCCAGCTGAGAGGGCCAGAGTCCACACCCATTCAATTCTAGGGACAGCGTTGGGTCTGAGACCCTGGAGGGCACAGGGCAGGGAAGCACATCTGCTGCCTGTGAGCCCAGCAAGCCCAGTTCAGGCCCTCGCGTTCCTCCCCCACCCCAGAAGCAACACCAACGCCCACAGACTAACCCTTCTGTTGTTCTGTTTATACACGCGTGTGTACACTTTGGGCCTAACTAGTAACCTGTAACTATGGAAACGGAGGCTGCCAGCATAGCTGCGAGGACACGGACACAGGCCCCATGTGTGGCTGCCACCAGAAGTACGCCCTCCACTCAGACGGTCGGACGTGCATCGGTAAGTTGACACCGCATACCCGCCTCGCTCCACCTGCCCGCAGGGTAAGGTCGCCTACAGTCCCCATCACAGAAGGAAGCCGAGGGAAGCAAGAGAAAGCAGGGGTCCCCAAGTGTCAGCTTTTGTGGACACTTACCCTAGGTCCCATAGACCCCTGGGTCCAAATCCCCAGCAACTCCTGGTGCAGGGCAGGTGGTCTGCGGGGAGGAGGAGCCTGTGTTCCTCAAGAGGGCTTCATCAGCACCTCGGCACCAGGGTTTCTCTGAGATGGAAAACCCGTGTCCAGATCTGTTTAGTCTCGTGGCCACCATTAGTTCCACGAGTGCCCAAAGCAGTCTGGAAAGCCCAGAGGTGTCCTCAGAACACAGGTGGTGGCGGGTGAATGGTGTGCATCCTTGTGGGGCCTGGGGTATGGCTGCTTTGAACTGCTTCTCATTCCAAGCTGACGGGGCTCTCGCAGTACTTCCTCCCCACCTGAAGTCTCTCCTCAGTGACACCCCACTCATCACCTCACTGCCACAGGAGTCCTGATCTGAGTCTCGGCCACTTGCTTCCTCCAGGCCCATATTTCCAAGGGGAAGCTTGAATATTTGTGATTGCCATGATCACTAGCAGTTTTTCCTCCTACTCAAAAGTAACAGCAGATTTTTTAACTGAGAAGAAGAGGCATTTCAGAGCTGCGCCCAGAGTTCTCCCTCCTCTCTGTCCGCAGCGCTGGTGCACTAGCACGAGTCAGTGACCATGGTTGTTATTGTTTTAAAAAGGCCCTGTCTCTGATTGCCGTCTCTGGGAAGTGTTTCTGGAGGGATTTTCGAGTGACAGAAAGGGGGGTTGTTTAGCAAGATAAGCACACAAGGCCTGGGGTTGCTGTAGCACTCCGTCCCCTGTGGCTGCTCCCTCGTGTCTTGGAGAGCTGGGTGCTGGCCGGGCGGGGACACCGGGCTGTCACCTCCCAGCCCAGGGCTGTGGTCATGGGCGCTGCTGCCTGCAGTGGTTCTCCCTCTGTGTGGTCTCTCCTCTCAGATAGCCGTTGTTATTTCATTTTATCTCATCCCTCCTGCTTCTCTGGTGATGGTCCCTGATTGCCTGTCTTGTCTGACAACTGACGTTTGTTAATTATTTTCAGAGCCAAAAGCCAAAACCAAACCAACCAAACAATCAAAAAACAAAAAAAAATTAAAAGCCAAACCGGGTCTCAGACCAGTGTCTCTATTGCAGCCTGATCCCGTCTAGAACTCCTGTCCTCTGGCCTTTCTCCCTCACTGTCCCCCAGGCTCTCCTGGGCTCTGCCTCCCTCCTGTCTTGTCTGCTCCTGGTCTCCTGGGGTTTGTGCATCCAGTGGGGCCACAGGCCACTGGACCAGCGCAAACAGCTGCCCGACCAGATGCACTCCCAGCCCGTCTAACCCCTCTTGTCTGTGTCCTCCTGATTCATTCCGACTCATTTTTTAAAAATGCTCTAACACCTGCTGCACGTGGCGGTCCCTGCTTGGATCTCTTTCTGAAGTAACTTCCCAGGTCCTCGCCTCCCTCCCCCCATTAGACATTTCTGACTCAGCTTTGCCGCAATGGCTTCCTTCCTTCCAGGATGAGAAACCTCTGTCTTTGCTCATGTCACCAGCTCCCCCTGGGGACAGTGTCTTCACACAATCCAGACTGAGCAAGGGAACCAGCTAACCTCTACCCCTACAAGAAGCCTCCTGCACAGCTTTGCACCCGGAGGCTGCCCGGCTGCCCCAGGCTGTTCCTTCTCCCACTCCTACAGCAGCTGCCCCCTCCTGCAGCCTCCTGCTGAACTTGAATGCCCAGCCCTCATCCTCTAGACAAGCAGGCAACCAGCGCTGCCCAAAGCAACCCCGGGGTCCTGCGTCTGCTCGGCAGGATCCACTGTTCTGTGTGTGCGCTTGTGTTTCTCCATGTGTTTTGGTCTTAATTTTGCATGAGTGACACTTTCATGTCCTTGTGACAGGGCATCTGCTGTCCCAGGCACATCCATCACCGGACCTCGCGGCCCTGTCCCCTTGTCCTGTGCCTTGTCCTGTGCCTGCCTCTCCAGCCTGAGCTATGGGGGTCTGTAACCACTTGTCTCCGTGAGCACTGCGGTGCTGGTGTCTGCACTGTGGCCTCTGCAGAGCATCCTCCTGCTCTGGCCTCAGCCGCCTCTCCTATGTTGTTGCACATGGGACTGTGTCCATCTGTCCTGGGTCGTGTCACAGTCACACCCTCTTCTGCACGCCCCACCCTTGCTGCCTCTCTGCTCTGCCTGAGCACACCTACCCTGGAGGTCCTGGGATGGGCCCCTTGGCAAGGACAGTGCGCTGGCCGCATGCTGTGTTGGCTTCGTGTGCGCCATGCTGAGAGGCTGGCTGTCTTGGGCCGCAGGACGTGGGCTCTCATTAACCTCTGGCTCCGTGTTTGTCCCTTACTTGTGTTTTAGAAAAGGATGAGGCTGCAATTGAGCGCTCTCAGTTCAATGCCACGTCAGTAGCTGATGTGGACAAGCGGGTGAAACGGCGGCTACTCATGGGTAACACTTTTCTTCCACTTCCTTTGTCATGCTTGCCCTTGTGTGTGCTCGTGCAGGTGAGCGTGTATATGTGCATGTGGGGTGAGTGCGCTGGTGCGTGAGGGTGAGCGTGTGTGTCTGTGCGCATGTGTGTGCGGGTGGACCCCTGCGTGGAATGGTGTGTGCCCCTGTGTGCACAGTCACATGTGTTGTGTGTGAGTGTGGGGGGCTCCGCTGCAGATGGGAACTCATTTTTTTCCTTTTTAAAGTTTTTACCTTCCATCAAACGCACTTGTTTCTTTGTTTGTGTGTTCGTAGCACAGAACCCAGCGCCATGTCTAATGGGCTGAGCATGTCGGGAGGTGTTTGCCGTAAGCCTCCTCCCGAGCGTAGATCCCCACGTGTGCATAAGCCCGGCTGGCACAGCGCACGGGACTCAGAAGCCAAGGAGGCCTTGGTGGGGAGGGGCCCGCAGCCCAGGCCTTCTCCAACTCCTCTCCTGGGAGGGAAGTCACCATCCAGTCCTCTCGTCCTCAGGGGAGTCACCTAGTTCTCAGGGTGCCCTGGGAGGCCCGCTGGCTAGTGTGAGGAAAAAAAGAAGGAAGAGGAAAGAATGGCCGCCCTTGGACCGAGCACGGGATGCGGGACAGAAAGCGGCACCCACCGCCACTCACGCCTGGACCCAGCAGCTGCTTCTGCAGTTCGGGGTCGCCAGTCTGAGGGCTTCAGCCGTTGCCTGGGGCCTCCTGGGTACAGCTGCGGACTCTGGGGGTACAGCCTTTCTGGTGATGCTCTGATGGCTCACATCAGCCCTGGGAACCATGGACTTAAGGATGTAGTCCCCATTTCTCAGAGGAAGAAACGGGTTCCTGGGGTCCCCAGGCTTGTCCAAGATCGCACACTACCCAACACAGCCCAGACACAATGGGTCCTCTCAGTGTTGGGATTGCTGGAGGTCAGAGCTGAGGGTCCCTGAAAGGTCACCTAGTTTTGTGTTCCTCATATGAACCTCCAAGGGGCCCAGGCATCTAGAAAGGAAATAGGAGGGAGGTCTGGGGCACAGGAGGGACATAGCCCTGTGCTGGCCAGAAGGCTGGAGGCCTGCAGGCTGTGCTCAGTGAGCACCAAACACCTGCACTGGGAGGGTAGGTGTCACCCTCCTCCTCAGATGCACGCTCCAAGACCAAAGAGGTCTGAGCACTCATCCTGAGCATCTGGGCTGACAGGATAGGCCCAGGCTGGAAGCCGTCCTCCACAGAGTCTCTGGAGGGACCATCTTTTGGACGTGGGTGTGGCCTTGGAGGCTTGTGCAGGCAGTCATGACCACAGCCTCCAGGAGGTGAGAGTCAGCATGTTGGACCCCTGGAGTGGTGACAGAGGTGGGTGCCAGCAGCCCCAGGGATCAGTGTTGTGAGGCCACACTCAGGACTCAGGACCCAGACTTTCACCTCACTTCCTAAGTGCTACAGGTTCTCCTGTTGAGGCCTGAGCCCCACAGAAAGCCTCTAAAGCCCTCCCCCCCCCCCCCCCCCCCACACCTCCCGCCACCACACACACACACACACACACACACACACACACTTCCCAGGAAGGAGCTAGGTGGCAGAAGAGGCCAAGCTGAGCTGGTGCTGCAGGGGTGGTGGGCAGGGTGATGGGGCAGGGCCTCTGCACTTGCCTTCTGTGATTAGAAGCAATGGACAGCCACCCCAGCCAGATCCTGGGGGGCCAGGGAGGCGAGGAACCCAGCCACCTCTCTTTGGGCTTGGTAGGCAGAGAAGGGGAGCAAATCAAAGGGTGTGGGCCAGGATCAAGGTGAGGACCACAGTGGAGTCAACCTTCCCCACATTCCCACCTCTCCCATCACTGAAACCTGCCATTCACCCTCCAAAAGCCTGTCCTCATTCTCAGAAGAGGCCTCTCTCTCCTCTGGTGTCCCTACAGCTCTTGCCATGGGTGGATGGGCCAGTGTCCTAACTCATACTCTCAGAGCTTTTCAGAAAAAGTCAGTCTTGGGGCCCAAAATCTAAAGCACAGTTGAACCTCCAACTCAAGAGCCCTGTCTTTGAAAGCAGCCTCTGAGGTAAAGATGTAAGATCTTGTTGGACTTTAGGCCCTAACTGTTAAACCCCAGGGAGGTGTCGCTGTTCCCAGGCTGTATTAATAGAGACAAGGTATGGAGAATAGGAGAGGTGAATACCCACATTCTGCCTTATGCCAGTCAGCACATACCTGGGTATCAGGTTCAGAGCCAGGTCCTGCAAGGAGAGTGTCTAGACAGTGAAAGGAATCGGAATTGGGTGAGACTCGCTTATTAATGCTACTAGAGTTTTTGATCTCTGAAGAAGCACCAGCACCTTATCCTGGGAGATCCTCGGGCTTGTGGGGCTGGGGCTGGGAGAGAGTAGGACAGGCAGAGGAGGAGGTACCCATCAGCAAACGAAGAAGCTGATCCCCCCAGGAGATCCATGACCAAGTTAGACCCTGGACCACCTGGCTCTACGGTCTGTGCCCGTCACCACTGCACTGGCCAGCTCCCCACCCGCCACCCCGAACCAGTGAGTGCTTGTGAGACACCAGGACCTGAGTGGTTGGTCTCCTGTGAGCAGGACCTGGTGAGGTCCTGTCCGTGCTCCTCCAGAGCAGGGCACCTGCATTGCAGGACACCAGGGCCAAGAGGCCTCACAGGCATCTTCTGTCTGAGAAGCCCCCTGTCTTAGTGTGGATGGGCTTCTTTGCAGAGCAGGTAGGAAAAGACAAAGGGAAAGGGCTGCTTCCCTCTGGAGTGAGCAGGTGCTGGGAGCTCCTGCCCACCTCTGGGGTACCTATGCATCTTGCCATGCTCCATGGTGACCACACAGCTGGAGCAGACTTGTCCTGCCGGCCCAGGTGAAACCTCTCTCCATGAGTGTCCATGGCCACATGCTCCCTCTGGACAATGAGCCATCAGAGGCCCCTAGAGGGACAGTGGCAAGCTCTTCCCTGTGGGCTCCCAGATGAAGGGCAGGATTCAGATTCAGACCCTCTGACCAGCTGTTTGACTCAGAATTCTTCCAGAATGTTTTGTGGCCCGACTGGCAGAGGTCATTTCCTATAGATACACGCAAGTCATTTAATGAGCTGTCTGGCCTCTTAGTCTGGCCCAGAACTGGAGAGGAGCAAACAGCAGAGGGTGTGAAACACCAGCTAAACCCAGCACTCTCCCATCGTTGGGCCTCTGCGCTTCTGCGTGGAACCTGCCTGCTTTTCCTTTACCAAAGCCCAAGCTGTGACATTTTGACAAGGGTACGAAGTCTAGAGACCAGAAGTGATAAGACACTAAAGCCTGCAGCGGGTCCTGCTGCTTTGCTGGGCTCAGAGCTTCTGGCAGTGCCGGGCAGAAGAGGCAGTCTCTGGTGGAGACCACACAGCAGAGGGCCCTGTGCCCCCAGGTCAGTGGCTCTAGCCCTGCCTCTGGCATAGTGGAGTGCTGGCCCCAGTGGGGGAGGGAGTGCTCCAGCAGTGTCCTGTCCCGCTAGAGTGCACAGAGCCCCAAGCAGGACTGGTGGTGCTCCATCTTCCTGTCAACCCCAGGCTTTGAATCAAGTTCTTTCCAGAAGCTTAGGATGGGTGTGTGTGTGTGTGTGTTTCCGGTGGTTGCTCTTAACACACTGCCACCATCTCAGAGCCGCAGCATTGTCGTAGGCTGCAGGTCAGAAATTTGACACAGAGCTCCTGGGTCAATGTCAGGTGTCTGCAGGCCCGGGTTCCCTCTGGAAACCTAGGAACAGTCCCTCATCTTGCCTTCTCCCATTTCCAGAAGATGCTGTTTTGGGTAGCTCACTGCCCCTTGCATCTTGAGAGCCAACCGCCCTGAGACTGACCCTCCTATGTTGTCACAGCCCTCTCCCTCCTTTCCTCTCCCCTCTCTCCCTGTCATGGTTAAGGACCCTCGTGATCCTGGGGGTCCTCTCCAGATGATCCAGGTTTTCTCCTGTCCCAAGGCGTTAACTCAGTCATATCTACAAAGCCCTTTTTGCCATGTGGGGTCACAGGCTCTGGTTTCAAACGGGGACATTTTAGGGGCCTTTATTTGGCCTAAGACGGATGATTCAACTTGGGCTGGGAAGAACTCCACTAAGATGGAGCCCATGCCCTCTTTACTGGCTTTGCCTGTCCCTCCTGCAAAACCATTCCCAAGCGTATGGGATGTGCTGGCCAACATGGGCTAACCTGCCGCTTCAGGGGACCCCTCACCCTTGTGTTGGTGCCCTCCGTTCTCAGCAGCCTCGGTGTGTCTTTGGCCCACCCCTCTGCCCCAGCCCTCCAGCCTCACCTGTGCCACTGCCTCCTCCTGCAGTTGGCCCAAGTCTTCCCAGTCAGCTGTCCCCACTGTACAGATGAAGAACTGAACCCTGAGAAGGGAGGCCACACAGTCGGTAAGCAGCTCCCTGGGCCACAGCTGGGCTCATGGACTTCCAGGGCCCCGGGTCAGGAGCAGAGTAGATCTGAGGGACGCAGTTCTGCAGGTTCAGTAGCCTTGACAGCCATCCCGGCTCCACTGTCCCCTCCTGAAGGGAGCAACAACAGAGCCTACAGCCAGTCCTTCCTACCGTTTCCTGATGCCCGTGAGAATAGCACACCTGATAGACAGGTCAGTGATCCAAAGTGACTGTCAGACCTGGCTTGGAGCCTCGAGCACTCCCCAGACCCCGCTGAGGGCTGGGGCTAAAGTGTTTCGTAGATGAGAAGGACAGTGAGGCTAGAAAGCGGGGTGGGAGTTCCTCTCCTCTACTCCCAGAGCTAGCACTGCCTGGCGCCCTGCACCTCTGCCTGGCGCCCTGCACCTCTGCCCGGCGCCCTGCACCTCTGCCCGGCGCCCTGCACCTCTGCCTGGCGCCCTGCACCTCTGCCCGGCCTGTGGGGGCCCACACTTCCCTCCCTCTTCTCAGCAATGGCCAGGAGTGGTGCTCAGTGATGGTTACAGAGGTCACAGCAAGTGTGGACAGTGCCTGGTCTGCAGGGCCTTGAGTTCCATAGGGACA